CTTCTGTCAGGAACGTAAAATGGTACAGCCACTGTGGAAAACAGTTGGACAAAAGATTGAATATAGAGTTACCATATAACCTAGAAATTCTACCCTTAGGTATATACCCAAAAGAATTATTGATACCATACATTTGTATAAAAACTTGTGCATAAATTTTCATTGCAGCATTATTCATAATAGCCAAAAAGTAGAAACTTAAATATTTACCAACTGACGAATGGATAAACATAAAGTGATATAGCCAGACAATGAAATATTCAGCCATAAAAAGGAAAGAAATACTAATACATACTATAACATGGATGAACCTTGAAAATGTGATGCTAAGTGAAGGAAGTCAGAAGATAGCCATATATTGTATGATTCTATTTATATGAAATGTTCAGAATAGGCAAATCCATATAGATAGAAGGTAGATTAGTGATTTACCATGGACGGGGGGATGACTGCTATTGGGTACAGGGTTTCTTTTTGGGGTAATGATGAGGTTCTGGAATTAAATAGTGGTGATAGTTACACAGCCTTGTCAATATGCTCAAAAGCTGCTGGATTGTACACTTAAAAGCAAAAGAAAATGAAACCCTAAGTGTTAGATTTCAGTGCTGCTTTTGACTGATTGTATGGCTCCTTTACATTCCATTTCTCTTCTTTTTTTAAAATGGGGATGACTCACCTAACTCAGATTTGTTATGGAAATTAAGTAAAACAACATATAGTTAGATACAGACTTCTAAGTTAAGATGGTAGAACAAAGCAACTTTGCAGAATATCTTTTTTAATTCCAAGTAAAATGAACCAAAACCGTTTTTAAAAACAGCAAAAATGTTCAGCAACAGCAACAAACAAGGGAAATGGCACGGCCCCATTCTGTAAATCTGGAACAGGGTAGATATACAGTCTGAGGCTTCTGTGACAACCCTACTTGGACGCTTGTGATTTACAGAATCTTGAGAATTCTCACTAATAACCCTGTCTTGATAGAAGCAAATTAAATGAGTATTCTAATCTTCTTTGAGAAAGAAAAAAATGAGTGAAATAAAGTTAAAAAAAAGAAAAAGACTCTCTGATAGAAATGAAGTCTCTAGGGATACACACTGAATGAGGGGACACAGGGTATCCTTCCATGTCATTAGGTTACTGCGTCCCCTCCCCCAACTAGGTAAATGTGCATTTAACAAAACCTCAGAATAAAGAGCCTGGATATTCCAAAGAAACTCAACAGGTTAGTCTTATTAATATAGGCAAGCATTCTAAAGAGAATATTAGCATATCTAGTCATATAAAATGATGACATATATATATATATATAAATGAGTAAATAGAGTTTATTCCAGGAACATCAGGCTCTGTTAAACATTAAAATAATGTAAAGGAAAAAAATTATATGTTTATCTCAGTAGATGCAGCATACCACCTAAACCAAGCAAACAATCTTAGAGGTGAATAAAAGGGAATCAAAAGTCATCCATATTAAATTGGAGCAAATTAAAGGTCTGGGTAAAGCTGCGAGATAAAAGCATGATAACTGTGCAAACATACTATAGCAAACTAATGAACTAACAAAAAGAAGAAAAATGAAATAGCATGCAGAAGATGAAGAACCCATAATCTACAGACAGAAGGAAATATCTTACATGATTCAAGTGGTAAAACTTAATAAAAGAGCTCAAAGACAAGATGATACAACAGGATGAGATGAAAGGTAAATTGCAGACAGGAAACAAATTGAGGACCAAAACAACGTATTTACAGAAGAAATAAATTAGAAATAAGGAACAGAATGGAGACAATTAACAATTAAGTTGCATAGTAGAAAAGCGTCAGATAATCAGATTGAATGCAGATGAAAAAGACAAAGACAGTAAAATCAGAAGAGCTAACTAATAGATATGGAGTTAAAAAATCCAGCATAATGATAATTAATGCCACTGAAATAGAGCACTCAACAAATGGAGCAGAAAAGTATTCAAAGATATGATAAAAGCAATCTTACCTGAAATGAAGAATTGAATCTAGAGATAGAAAATACCTTGCTAAAGGCAGGGGAATGGGAGAGTAGAATAAGATGTAATACTATATTTTCCTCAACTTTCAAAGTAGGAAGTCAATCAATGCTATCTAAAATTGAAAAGAGAAAAACCATGATTTCTCCAAGTTACTGTTTTTCTTAATGTCTCTTCTTAGCCTTAGAGGAATCTTTTCAAAACTTTATCTTTTGTTGAAGAAATATTTAGCATATTCTTCAGTTTAGCTTGCTTTTTCCTTTATTAAATTTTAATAAAGTTATAATTGAGTGCTTTTATTTTTAAAATAGTGTCCTATTTTTGTAAAGGTATTACTTTAATTCTATATAGACAGAAGGAAAAGTCAGTAGGTAGGTAGTAGGCTAGATGTCTGAAATGATGTTAATTTAGGATAGTTTCTGGCTGGTGGGATTTGCGATATTTATCAGTCAGGATCTAGTCAGAAGACAGAAACCATACCAGCTATTTTTAACAGAAAGAATATGTAAAGTATTGTTTACAGATATTAAACTGAAGTGGTAAAATAAGATACTAAAGTTTTTACAGAGGTATCAACTGTGGAAATCACTACCATTCCTAAGGGTACAGGACAAAGGAAAGAGATTAATATTACCAAAATATATAATATCACAGGGGAAGCCCTATGGAGCTTAAACCCAGATCTCTGAGAAGGAGCTGCTGCTTAGGCTAGCATCAGTGCTTCTGGGTGTGGAGAATGGGCCCTGTGGACCTGGTACTCAGACGTCTGGTATTGGTGTCTCTGAGGAGGGTTCAGCAAGGTGATTTGGGATAATAAGTGAGGCAGAATACAATGTTATTTTGTTTTAGATGGCTAGCCAAAACAGTAATACCTTTCCACTTATTAGAAGTCTTCCTCTGTGTCTCTCAATAGGGCTTTTACAAAGATTTTATTCATGCTGATTTGTGCATTTCTTAAATTTATTGCTAGCTATTTTATATTAGTTTAGTTTTGTTTCTGTAAATGAAAACTTTTCCTCTATTTTATCTTTTAACCTGTAGTAGTTTGTATATGGGAAAACTTTTGATGTTTATTAATTTAACATCCAGAATCCTTACTAGATTTTGTTATTATCAAAGGTTTTCACCTTCACAGTATTGAAACTTCTCTAAAAGGCTCTTACAGAAATCTGCTTTGCATTTGGTTATGTAGGAAACTATCTCCACCACACACTCTCTTTATTGTCAAATACTATTTCTTTTCTTGAACTACTATTGTAAAGATATCATTACTAGTCTCCCTGTTCTTACCCCATCCCATCACAAATTTATTCTCAACACAACTTTTAATCTTTTAAAAACATAAATCATGTCACTTTCCTGCTCAAGACCCTTAAAAAATCGTTCATTGTTCTTTAAATAAAATCCAAATTTCTTACCATAAACTACAAGGCCCTATGTCTTAATCTGCTTGGGCTGCCATAACACATACCATAAATTGGGTGGCTTAAACAACAGAAATTTTTCTCATAGTCTGGAGGTGGGGAAGTCCAAGATTAAGGTGCCAGCCAATTTAGTTCTTTATGCGAGCTCTCTTCCTGGCTTGCAGATGCCCACCTTCCTGTTGCAACCTCATGTGGCCTTTCCTCAGTGTGTATCCCTGGAGAGAGAGAGTGCACACTTTTTTATCTTATAAGGCTACTAATCCCATCATAAAGGCCCCACCCTCATGACCTAATGTAATAACTTTACCTACCAAAGACTCCTCCTTCAGATACTACCATATTGGGGGTTAGGGCTTCAACATATGAATTTGGTGGTAGTGAGGGATACAAACATTCAGTTTATAACCATCCAAAATGATCTGGTCCCAGCCTGTCTCTTCAACCTCTTCTAGAGGCACTCTCCATTAACACATTGATCTCTTAAACATACCAAGCTCCTTTCTACTTAAGAATCTTTACACATGCTGTTCTCTGTCTAGAGGCTCTTCCTCTTCACATGAGAGATTTGCTGTCCCTTAGGTCTCAGTTTATATATCCCTTTCCCAGAATCCATATATATGAGCAGGTCTTCTCTATTCTCTGATAACTCATTGTATTGATTTATTTATTAATCTATTACTAATGTGTATTTATATGTTACTACAAATGTGTATCTGTATATATGTGTACATAATTTTATTCTGTCTGCTTTGTATATGTTCAGAATTCTCCATAATAAAAAGTATTTTTAATAGAAAAAATTCCATTGATACCTTTTTTTTTCCCTTGTAGATTTATTTTGCTTTTGCTTGATCATACACTATTGAGAAAATAATACATACATCATTGTATTTTGACAATACCTTTAAGATTTAAAAGGTACCTACCTTATGCCATAATTCCAGTTCTAGAAATGACTTGTACATGTATGTAAAGACATTTATACATGGATTTTCATTGCAGAACAACAAAAGTTTGGAAACAACCTAAATAGTCATCAGTGGGAGGGGGGACCAGTTTAATGAATTATGGTATAATCATATTATGAAATACAACTCAGTTATTAGAAAATGGAATAGTTCTATATGTAATGACATGGAACGATTTCCAAGTAAGAAAGCAAGGTACAGACCATTATGTATAGTACGTAACTGTACATAATGTGTCCATATGTAACTAAAAAATATTACATGGGAATTTATCTGGATTATCTGTAGAAGAAAATCAGGAAACTAGTAACAGTAGTTGCCTCAGGGACTGGGGTGCACATGACTGAAGGTTTAAAGGCAAGATGGAGGCTTTCTTTTTCATTGAATAACAAAAAAAATTCTGTAGGAGTAGAAATGAATGACTATTTGGTGCTGAAATTATAGGGGATAGTTTTTGAAGAACAAAGATAATGAAAGCTTAGTATTGCTTTTATCTAACAAAAATAGAAAGTAATAAATAATTATAATAGATATCGCTATGAAAGACACACAGTGGTTTCACTTATAAGTGGAAGTATCATCTGGATTTTATTTATTTTCAGGTGGTGATAGTGGACTGGATGGGTTAGGAGGACCAGGTGTACAACTAGGAAGCCCAGATAAGAAAAAACGCAAGACAAATACACAGGTAAATTGACATTTTCTTTAATAGCAGTTTTTCTTCACTAATATGATCAGACTGATGACATAAATTTAAATTTGGTCATAGGTTTTGTTTCCTGTCCTCATTCAGAACCTCATAGTGAATTCTGCAGTGATCGTATTTTTTTTTTACTCTGTAAGTAGTGGTTATTGCTGGACTGTAGGCCTAGAGTAGATATTATGAAGAGGGAAGTGTGGGAAGTGTGGGCAGACAAGTTAAAATGCTTATTCTTAATTTAATTTAAAAGATAGTTGCCTGTAGTTCTATTAAAAAACTTAAAATATATATGGACACAAGTTTAACATGAAGTAGTAATGTTCAACTGTTATAATAATTCAGTAGCATGTGCATATCATGAAGCAATAGTGGTGGAGGTATCTTTTGTCTATAACCTGTGGTTATAGTAAAATAGTTATAAATACAAGCATTCATGGTTTTATTCTCTATAAATTTGAAGCACTTTTAATGATAAAGACTGACTGTGAATAAATATGATGTATATGTAGATACCTTTTTTCCATTTGGCCACCATCTGTTAACCTTACAATGTGACTAAAACTGGTAGTTTATTTTTCCAGTCTGAGGCCTGGAGTTTAGTGCTTTGGGAATAAGTTAATAGCTACTCCCTGAAGTTAAGCTAGGAAAAAAAAATTAGATCCTGTTTATTGTTTTTTAATTTTATGGTTATTTGGGATATGAAAGGTATTTTTAGTTAGAATTTTAAGTGAAAGAGTCTAGAGTTAGAGGAAAGCATAATAAATGAAAATTATGGTAATGAATCTTTTGAAGGTTAAATACTTTTGGAGGTTGAAGTAACAATGGATTCGAGCTCATAAAAGCATTTCTTATTTCCTTTTCTAAATGAAAGAATCCTACACATTTTCATCATTAAATATACATAAACATTTGGAATTGAAAGGTCAAGTGAAGAATTAAATTTTCATAACACTGCAAGAAAAATTTGACTAAAAGTAGGTTCATAAGTGTTAAGATTTTATAACAGGACAATTTTAATGACTTCTTTGATCAAAAACCATGTTTTTTACTTTATATTCTCATTTCAGGGCCCTTCTTTTCCTCCGTTGTCTGAGTATGCTCCACCACCGAATCCCAACTCTGACCATCTAGTGGCTGCTAATCCATTTGATGACAACTATAATACTATTTCCTATAAACCACTACCTTCATCAAATCCATATCTTGGCCCTGGTTATCCTGGCTTTGGAGGATATAGCACATTCAGAATGCCACCTCACGTCCCTCCGAGAATGTCTTCCCCATACTGTGGTCCTTACTCACTCAGGAATCAACCACACCCATTTCCTCAGAATCCTTTGGGCATGGGTTTTAATCGACCTCATGCTTTTAACTTTGGGCCACATGATAATTCAAGTTTCGGAAATCCATCTTATAATAATGCACTAAGTCAGAATGTTAATATGCCTAATCAACATTTTAGACAAAACCCTGCTGAAAACTTCAGTCAGATTCCTCCACAGAATGCTGGCCAGGTATCTAATCCTGACTTAGCATCTAACTTTGTCCCTGGAAATAATTCAAATTTTACTTCTCCATTAGAATCTAATCATTCATTTATTCCTCCTGCAAACACTTTTGGTCAAGCAAAAGCACCCCCCCCAAAACAAGACTTTAATCAAGGAGCAACCAAAAACACTAATCAAAATTCCTCTGCTCATCCACCTCACTTAAATATGGATGACACAGTGAATCAGAGTAATATCGAATTAAAAAATGTTAATCGAAACAATACAGTCAATCAAGAGAACAGCCGTTCAAGTAGCACCGAAGCTACAAACAACAGCCATGCAAATGGGACACAGAATAAGCCACGACAACCTAGAGGTGCAGCAGATACATGCACCACTGAAAAAAGCAATAAATCCTCTCTCCACCCAAGCCGTCATGGCCATTCTTCTTCCGACCCAGTATACCCTTGTGGAATCTGTACAAATGAAGTGAATGATGATCAAGATGCCATCTTATGTGAAGCCTCTTGTCAGAAATGGTTTCATCGGATCTGCACTGGAATGACTGAAACAGCTTATGGCCTGCTAACTGCAGAAGCATCAGCAGTGTGGGGCTGTGATACCTGTATGGCTGACAAAGATGTCCAGTTAATGCGCACTAGAGAAACTTTTGGTCCACCTGCAGTGGGCAGTGATGCTTAATCACAGGCATTAACTAAAGGATTTTTTTTCCTCCTGTGTATTACAAAGGTTCAGTAACACAGGCTTTTAATGTTTTACATTATTTTTTTAAATGCACACAAAGATGATTTTTAGTTTTTATTAATATTCCACTTCATTGCTAGTGCAAACTTTGTGTTGTCTTTGCTATCTTAAATAAGAATAATGTATATGATGGTGCTTTAGAAAGTACTATACAAATAAATGTTAGTTGTTAGTCATAACATAAAAGCCTCTTGAAGCTTCAAAATAATATATAGCAAATGTAGGCAAGTTTTGACTTGTAAAAGAATCATTGAAAAATGTATATTTCAGTGCTGAACTTTAATGATATCACATTAGACGTTTAGTTCAAAAAACTTTTCAAGGCTGCATTTAACATGTTCTCAGAAAAAAATGTGTCTATAACATGGAAGAAAGCATACATTTTAATGGATTTTTAAAAAAAATAATAGTGTATGACACCAGATTTCTCCCTAACTAGGGTCCTTGAAATTAGTGATTTTCATATTTCAAGTCAGTCTCTCCAGGATATCTGTACAGATAATGAGACAGATGTTAGCATATAGTAGATCCTCCTTATTTGTTGATTAACTTGTGGATTGTACCACATGAAATTGCTAATGTTAGACCAGTTGAAAATTATAGTTAATAGAGTTGATATAAAGTATGTTTCTAGTTGTGCTATTTAGAATTATAATAGTATAATGCCTTTCTTCAATTCTCTTTGATTGTTGAGTTGTTTTGTTACTGTTTTCCAGAGAAATAAATAATATAGTATCCTCAGAAGAATTGTGAATACTTTTAAAACATGATTTCAAAGTGGGACATATTGCAGATGAGGTAGAAACAAATACGGCCTTAGAGAGCTCTGCTGGTGAAAGAACTACTCGTTGGTAATTTGAAAAATTTTGTTTGGGGGATCTGAATTCAAAAACGAGCCTCAAGGGAGATCAAAATCCATTTTAAGCAAAGATCAATTACAGAGCCAAGGTGAAAGCTAAGTTAAAAATAACAGTTCAAGGCCTTGCAGCTGACAGGAGTTTCTGCTATGACTGGGGAAAGTGAAAAAATGGACCTGAGAGTATTCTCTTGAGAGACAATAAAGAATGGAAACAGTCGGAGGTGTGTTCATAAAGATTCAAAACAGCAGAAAACCATTTTTGGAGTGGATCATAACCTGTGACTAAAAAAAAAATAAAGGATACTGTATGACAGTTAATAGTTTATACAGTGGTTGGATGTCGGTGAAGCTCCCAAACTTGCGCCATCATTATCATTGCAACCAAAAAGTTCTGAAGACCATATGGTGATCTGCAAAAGACATAATTACTACTGTTTAAACCCTGGTAAAACGACAGCAGCAGCATATTGCCAGTAAATTAAAATTATGCATGAGAAATCTGAAAACATCCTTTGGTTAATAAACATGAACCCATACTTTTATATGACTGCACTTGACCTCACATGTCACAAGCTACGAAAGCAAATTAATTCAATTGAGCTATTAAATTTTGTCCTGTCCTTAGTCACCAGGGCTTTATCCAATGAACTACCATCCTTTTCATCATTTGCAGCTTTTTCTAAGGAATAACATATTCTTCAATTGAGAAGGAGTAATTGGAGGATTTGAATGATTTATACAGCCTAACAAATGAATTTTATAAAAATGAAACATTTACTATCCTATTAGAAAATTAATGCTCATGATACATATTTTGATTGAATAAAACTTATTTTTTTAAACACTTTTTATTTTGACCTACAAAAACAGCAATTTCATATGGTACAAGGTCACATTTACCTGTGACTAGTTAGAGGTGAGTACAAAATATTTTCACTAGTTGTAAAATATGTATCTTTGCAATTTTAGGAAGTGAAATATAAGCTCTGATACTAGGTTCTCCTTTGTGTGAAAACTACCAGTTGAAGCAGGTTGAAATGCAGTATTTTTGGTTGACATTTGTTGTGTTCACAAACATACTTGAAGATCCCAGTTTGCTTACACTGTAGCTTTGTTAGAGATAAACAATTTTCTAAATATTTAAGGACCTAATTATATTGTTCTTGAAATCCTAGTGAGTGCTGATTTTTAAGTGATGCCCTGCATGTTATATGCCCAGTTCTAGCATCAGATCAGGGTGTTTTTTGTTGTTGTTGTTTGCTTTTTGTTTTTTGATGACTGAATACAGGTAAATAGATATTGGGTAGAACCTTTCAAAGTCCACAGAAATTAACACTACATGGTAGTAGTACTTGAGTTGTACTCATTGCTAAAACTCATTATGCAGTTTCTTAAGCCCTCTGTTGTTTACAATTTCAGTAGTTCTTTTGTGAAAATGAAGTAACCTCTCCCAAGCTAATCATGAGATACTTGATTTGTAATACGATTCTTTTATTTTCTATTTCCAAGTAGTAGTTTTAAAAAACTTAGAAAACAAGTGAATTTTTCTTCAGGTATGTAGGTCTTCAGAGTACCTTATTTAAATAAGAATTGTAAGTATTCAAAAGAAAAACCTGTGGTTGATTCTGACAATGAATCATAGGCAAACTATAATCATAGCTGATAAATATTTTCATGTATTCGAATTAATATTCTTGTGAGTTCTACATTTGTTTCTACATGACACTGAGTCAGAAGTTATCTAGTCCTTTTTAAAAAAAAAAGTGATGAACTATAAGAATGGCCCAATACTCATTTACCCAATTTGACCCAAAGAAGGCTGTTTTACAAATTGATGTGATTTTCTTAGGATAAGTGATGAGCTGCCCTAAACATTTAAAAATATTCGGTGATGGAAAGAGGTAGAATAATTTTCTAGTAGCATTGCACCTTTTTGGGTGTAATTCTTTCCCTTCCAATGAAAGGCCTCATCACTCATTCACACACACACACACACACACACACGAAATCTTGGAGTTTCTTCTTATTTTCAAAGTTCAACCTAGCTAACTATCAGCAAGGTTAGGTTACTAATGGAAAATTTTAAAGCATCAATTCCTTTTTCAGAACTTGCCTTGTTAATTTCACTCGATTCCTGGTGCACTTGCTTGTAGGTGCTACTGGACTAATCCTGAAACAGCTTGTAAAAGAAAAATATTCTTCAGATAGAGTGCTTAGAATTTAGATTTGTGATAAGTGTTTTCCTTTTGTGTGAAATACTTTAGAATACTGTTGTTATGATTCTTGTTATCCAAATTAGATCATGTACATAAAACTGAAGATTTTCTTGTGCTAGTGTTTATTCTTCATAGATTAACACAATGTAAAGAAGTCCAGTTTTTTGGTTGATGTTATGTTTTATAGACTCCCAATTCTGCCTAGTAATAGGAAGAAAACTCAGTAGTGTGGTTCATCATGAAATCTAACAGCTTTAATCATCCAAACAAATTATCGAACAAATTAAGAGTGCTAGTACTTTCCATCCAACATACTGTAGTATTTGTATTTAATAGTAAAAAAATATATATATAAGCAACGAAAAGGGAGCTCTAAATAGTTTCTGGATTTTTTTTTTTTTGCAGTGTATAGAGGTTTCATATGCATGAACATTTGTGAAATTTTAGATTTTTTTAATTAAAAAATTTAATTAGAAGTATTAAGGCTCCCAAAGTTCATTTGTAAATAGTGGTTTAGAACTCTATATAAGATGATTAGATTCTTAGGGAAGCTCATAAAGGCTTATTTAAACCTTGATGTAGTTAACCAATAGTATGCTGAGTGCTCAGCTTCTTTAGGGAACCAATGTAGATGGGAGGAAGAAGCAGAGGTCTTTCTTTTTTCCTGATGTGATTCAGGAAGATTAAGTTCTTTGGTGTGAGTGTTTCTCAGTTGCCCTCTTACCATCCTAAACTCTGGTGAGATGCTATATAAGCCAACTTGCCTTTTCCCTTTCTGGATGCTCTGTGTTTTAGAATTTCACATATTTCCTCCAATCAGAAGTACCATTTTTTTATGTGGCTGTGCTTGACTAGATTTTAAGGGAAAAGTGTTTTCCACCAAGACATGAAGGAAGAGAGTGAAGAAAGTGGGATTAAATTTCTTTTTTTAAAAAGGATGTTTATTCAGAATTAACCTTTATCTATTCTCTAAGATTTCAGACAAAATGACAGCACTTCAGGCACCACAGGGAGCAGTGTTTTTTTTTGAATTGGCTAATACTGTCTTAAGAGTACTTCACAATTTCCTTTAGATTGTTGGGACTTAACAGCTTCCTTTCTTCTCTGAACCCAGAGATTTTCTCCTCATTTCCACATTTTAGCAATTTCCATTTTTTCTGTATTTCATTTATCCAGTAGGGCAGAATAGAAGTCAAATCTGCATTTTTCCAACTCGTGGTACAGTAATGGGAGTCTAGAGGCACCCTTGGAGCAAGGAGGCTAGAGATGGCATTAACATCTCCCAAGAAAAGGAGATGAGGAAATGAAGAAAGTGGCTATACATAAGCCAGACATTAATACATGAAAGGCTGCCTGTATTTGAAAACTTAATGAAACCCGATGGGTAAGCTTCATCCTTATTTTGTCAAAATACATTACTCGCAATTATATTAAAACATATTCTAAATGCCTGTACTTGTTCTGTAGATGATGTAGATGATGTTGCTTGTTAGTTAAAATATCTTATAAAAGAAAGTCCTGCTTCTTATCATGATGTATGTGACTTAAATGACTGTTTCATATTAAAACTATTTCTTCCTTATGTACTGTTTACATATACCTCTTTTTGGGATATTAGTTCAGTACTTTTATACAAATCTGAGTGTGTTCCACATTGGTGACATGTATTTTTGCAGTAATTTTTTGTTTTGTTCTTAGAGCATGTCTAAAGTAACACATGCACTAGTGCTGTGGTCTGTGGCAAAATTACTGTAATTCAAATTGGAAAATAAAATGTTTCCAGACTTTGTCCAACATTTATTCCTATGGCAAAGGAAATTACTATGTAATACTAATTATTTCTTATGCTGGTATGTTTAAGCTACTCTATGAAGTATGTGAAACATCAATATTATGGATTAGTAGATGGCCTAATGTCTTTGAAATGAGAGAAAGGGGTAAAATTTGATGTTAGCAATTCATAACACTCATAATACAATAAATACTTCTTAAAAATTTGATCTCTTACAGTTATAATTTACTAGAGAGTTATCTTGACAGTGCATATAGGATATTTTTAGCTCATACATAGAATTTTAAAATTATGTACTAGACTTTGAACTTATTCTGATACCTTTCAACCAAAAGAGATAGCATTCACTCTACCATAAACAAAATAAGTAATACTAACCTTCATTTCTTAAAAAACTACAGGCATACCTCGGAGATATTGCGGGTTTCGTTCCAGACCACGCAGTAAAGCGAATATCGCAATAGAGTCACACAACTTTCTGGTTTTCTCTTGCTTATAAAAATTATATTTACACTGTAGCCTATTAACTATGTAATAGCAATGTCTAAAAAAACAATACCTTAATTAAAAAGTACTTCTTTGCTAAAACAACTATCACCTGAGCCTATTGGGAAAATGGTGCCTCTAGACTTGCTCAATGCAGAGTTGCCACAAAACTTCAATTTGTAAAAAATGCAATATCTGCAAAGTGCAGTAGAGCAAAGCACAATAAAACGAGGTATGCCAGTATTACAATACCATAAAACTCTTCTGATTTACTTAGAATTTGTATCCATAATACAAGGACTTGAAAGGCATTTACTTTGTATTCTCTGATGGAAAGATTTGTTAACAAAAAATCAAAATTTTAAAGAAAAAACTTTAACCCATGAAAAAATTTAAAGCTGCTTAGAGGCATTTATTTAAGAATGCTAGTTTAAAGGTATTTTGTCATTAAAGCAAGTACTCAAAAGAATTATAATAGTTAATTATTGGCCAATGCAAATTTGTATATTTGAAATAACATGCTTGAAGGAAAAAAATACGAGTGCTTAAACTGCATGTCTTTAAAATATTCAATTTTTTTAGACCTTTATCAATTCAGACTACCCTGAATTATGAGGTTTTACTATATCAGTGATGTACAAGATAAATGTCTACCTATGCTATATTAATGATATCTCTAGCATCATTTTTTGCATGGTCGTGGTATATTTTGTACATTTGATTGTTGACTATTAATAAGATTGACATAGCAATAAATATGACTCAGTTCTTAAAATTTTTTAAATTGCCAGATACCATACCGTGTCATAATCCTATTATAGTTTACCTGAAAGCCCAATGTTTTCATGGGTTTATTTTTTGTGTTAAAAATTTAGTATTGCATGTTAGGGATTTTTTTTCTGGTGTTTTCACATACAATCTTTTAGAAGTGGGTCAGTTTCTCTTTAAATCAGAGGTTTAAAGAAGTATTAGTATTAAGTGATTCATGAATTGCTTTGTGGAAAAATTTAAAGTATGAAGTGACTAGGTTACCCCCAATTGCTTATTTTCTTTATATGGTTAATGTACAGGTTACAGTTTTCAGAGAAAATTGTCTTGGTAACTGATAGAATATAGTAGATAATGGATAGTTTGACTCTCTAAGGGCTTCCAAGTATTAAACCAAATAATTCTCAATTCTGAATTACTTTTTAATAATTGCTATAAATAGTAGTAAGCCAATTCTCCTTTTTCTTTTAAATCTTACAGTTTCTTCCTTCTGATACTTTTTTCTTCCTTAAACACCATGCTAGAATTTAAAATTGGAGTTTAAATTTTCTTCCACATTGTAGGTTTTTATTCTATAGCTAGGTAGTAAGACAAGTAGAGGTTCTATTATCAAAACAGTTCATGTTATTGTTGGTCATTCTTTTCAGGGATCATGCCAAATGTCATTTGTGCATTGTATAAAGAATGTTATTTATCAGTATATAAGACCTACTATTAGTAGAAATTATGTATGGCAGGCTTTCTTGAACAATATGTATTGTAAGTTTGTTTCCTATAGTGTTATGCTTCAGATTCTTTTAAATAAAGCTAGTTTTTAGAGAAAAATAACTGTTTTTTAAGTGCTTAACTTTCATCAGACAAGTAGGTGTGACAATTTTGGCTTTGGAAACATTAAGCAGGACAATAGCCTACAATTTACCAGGAATTTAATTTTATACTGAGAAGTAAACCAGCATTTTTGGACCGGCCTTGCTGTATACACACGTATTTTTTCTGTGAAGTTTATACATAACACTGAGTCCTGAGTCTTAAGAATATGTGAGCATAACATATCTCCATGTTGGTTTTAACAAGTTAGGACCTCTATTAAAAAAATTAATTGGAGAGGGGTTCTACAACCTCAGCAGCTTAACGTTCCCTGAAGCAGAGACACTGCTGTAGCAATATTAAGAACAAACTTTCTTGAATGATAAGATTAGGTTTACAAAAGACCTTCAAAGTTTGAAACAACCATCAGATACCTTGAGTCTTACATGAAAAGAGGCTATATAAAATGTGAACATGTCAGTAGATGTAACTTGGCATTAGAGGTAATAGAAGTAACGAGTAAAATTACATCAAATTGAAATTTAAATGCACAAAAGTCCTATTTAAATATATGGAAGGAAAAAAAAATAAAAAATGCTTGTATCTTACCTGCTGAAGGAGAGAAAAAATATACAGACTTCTGATCAAATAACATTATGAATTGATGCTCTAAGGCACCCCTTCTGTTCTAAACATATAGCAGTGATAAATATAAAAAGATAAAATTGGGCTCAAAATCAACATTGATATATCTAAGGACAAGAAATATAGACAGAAACTATGCTGAAGCAGCAGCCTGCCTGACTCTGGGTCCAGAGCAGAAATTCACAGTCAGAAGTTCTAATCTGGCAGGGTAATGAGGTCTTAAAAGTGCTACTGCTTTGCAAAACTTGTGAGATGCAATAACGTAATACAAAAGCTTTAAATAATTTTAAAAGCCCAAAATATAATGAGCTAAGTATTGATTTCAAGAAGTTAAAGAATAAAAAAATCCTAAGGACAGTAAAGGAAAGAAATAGAATAGGAAGTAAAATAGAAAACAAACACTAGAGAGAAATAAGAGAGCCAGAAGTAGGTTATTTAAAAGATCAATAAAATTGACGAGCCTCTGGTGAAACTGACTTTTTTTTTTTAATGGTAGACAAATAACAGGAATGAAAAGAGGGGCAAAAACATAATGCTTTAAACCAGGGGTTGAGCTAGGATTCCTTTCCACTGCTTTATCTCCTGTGAAAGGAGGCTACAAAGCAAAACTTTCTTGGGGCTCTGGCTCTTAGGAAGACACAGGCCTAAGGTGGCATAAGTGAACAGTTTTAAAATGTAACACTTGGCCGAATTGGGGCCCTAGGATACCAAGTTGGAGGCAAACTTAAAACTTTTAGAAAGGAAAGGAACCCAGAGGAAAGAAAAAAATAAAATGAAAGATAACCCATTGTAAATAAAAATTTCAAAACATATGAAGAAATCTGATGATAAAAAATACAGCTAACCAACACCTTTTTTTTTTTTAAATTATTTATGCCTGCAGCACTTGGTCTTCCTAGGTGGTCTCCCATCCAAGTACTAACCAGGCCCAATCTTGCTTAGCTTCCAAGATCAGACATCGGGCTTATTCAGGGTGGCATGGCCATAAACCATGGACTATGGCTCCACTGGGGCACACACCCAGGACCTTCTGCGTGTAAAACAGATGTGCTAACTGCTACACTATGGAACCACGTCCTCAACTGACACCTTTTGAAATTTGAATCCACTCAAGGTGAAAATAACAAAATAGCTTGAAAAAACTATGTTTCAAGATCCTGAAAGGTAAGCTAAAGAATAAAACATTATGAAACCCTATAAGTAGACATTCATTTATTCATTTAACGTCGAGTTTTCTGTATGTGTGTGTGTGTGCGTGTGTGAGTGTGTATCAGGCATTGTTCTAAATGCTAAGACTATAGCAGTAACAAACACGAAAATCACTACTCATGAGGTTTTTATTTTAGAGACAGAAAATAAGTAAACTATAAAGTATATGAGGGAATAAGCACTATGAAGAAAAAAAGGGAATGGGAACAAGGAATGCTAGGGTTGGTAGTGCAAGAAGTGCAAAGAAGTTCATAGTTTTTTTAATAGTTCAATGAAAAGATATTTAAGTAATGGCTTGAAGGAGTAAGAGTGAGTCATGCAGATAACTGGGGAAGAAAATCCCAGAAAAAGGTAACAGTAGCTACAACGACCTTGTGGCAGAAACATGCTTGGCACACTTCAGATATTTCAGGGAGGCCAGTGTGTCTGGAATGGAGTGAAGAAGAGTGAAAGGAGATGAGATTAGAAAATTAACAGGAAACCAGATTATGTAGGATTTTGTAGGTCGTCGTGAGTTTGGCTTTTACTCTGAGTGAGAGAGAAAGTGACTGGAGGGTTTTCACTAGGAAATGATCATTCTGACTGCTGTGTTGAAAATACATGAACAGCTTCAAACAAAATGACTTTGGGTATTCTCTCTGAGATTTTCTAGGGAACCAGCCAATAAGACCTGGCTGGATCTCCTGTCTCCTTGTGAAAGGGGCTGCACCTGAACTCAGCTTGCCATGTTCCTGGTAGTTTCTTCCAACTAAATCTTTCAATGTGAGTCAAAGTATCCAGGTAGCTGGCTTTCTCAGACAGGTATTATAAACAGTTTGCACCTAAACAAAGACTGCCTGTATCCCAGTAGTTTCCCTTCAGACAAGGTTCCTTTCGTGTTTGCCTTATAAGAAGGGAGAACAGCAATGGGATGGAATTCCTTTCCTATAATGCAAAAACACACTGCAGATCCAGCATATACTCTGCCTCCAGTGTGCTGCTGCTTGGGACGATGGGAGAATGGGGCAACATGTGTTTTTTTCTAAGCTTTGTAAGTTTCCATTTCTCCCCCTAAAAACTTGTCCCTTCACATAGTGGTTCTCAGTCTTCAGCGTGTATCATAATTACTTGGTGGGCTTGTTAAAATACAGATTTCTGGGCCCCACTTCCAGAATTTATGTCTGGAGCGGGGTCTGGGAATCTGCATTTCTAGCAAGTCCCCAGATGATGCTGATATTGTGGTCAGGGAACCACACTCTAAGAACCTCTGCCTTAGTTTGTGCTGTGGAGAAATCAGCTCTGTTGGCTACCACAAAGGGTCCCACTTGTATGACTTTCGCCTAGAGGTTAACCATTTTCCTTTCTTACACCTTACTTTCCCTTATAATTTTACCACATATGCAGAATCCTTAACCAATAGATTTGGTTTTCATTATTTTAAAGTTTTATGAAAATGGCATTATTCCTTAATGGTTTTATATGACTTGTGTTTTTTTCACTCATCTATCCAGTGTACAGTTATAATTAATTCATTTTTACTGTTTTATAATAGTATCAGGTGAATATCTCTCGATAGACATTTGGCTTGTTTTTAGGTTTTTGCTAGTAAGATACTATAAACGGCTACTTATTTACCCAGTCATAGAATTACCCTCCCTTTATGAAAAGACTCAGCCTGAAGGGTCTTCCTCCCTTAGACCTTCCCCCAAATTCTAACATTCTTATCGAGACACCCAATAGTGTGTGTTCTCCCTTGCTCAAATAGTAACTTGTTCAACTACAGGCTTTTCTGTGGTCTTTGGCTGAAGGGCATTGAAAAATATTATATATATAAAATATATAACTAGTTAATATAAAGTTAAAATATAGTAACATTATGTGCCTTTTGGTGAACACTAGTTTTTAATTTTAGTTCAAATTTTCAACCTTTTCTGATTCGTGCTTTTTATGTCATATTTAAGAAATCATTTCTTACTTCAGGATCATAGAAATACATATTTTTTAAGTTTCAAACGTGCATTTCTTTAGTTCATCGGTAAATCATTTTTGTGTAGGACACCATATGCATGTAAAGATCCAGTCTCATTTTTTTCCCATATGGTAACTATTTCTCCTAGCACCAAAATATTCAATAGTAATTCCTTTCTTTGCTTTTCTGCACTCAGGTACAGAGCCACCTTTGCCATATATCAAATTTCTATCTATACATGAGCTAGATTAGAGTTTTTTTTGTTTTTAAACCTAATAAGAAATACAGATCAAGACTTTAAGGTTGACTTATTTCCAAGTAAGGAGAACAATTTCACTGCAGAGGTGTTATGTGCTTAAGAAAATAATTGCTAATGGACTATTTTGAAAGTCTCAAACAGCTCAAAGTATCCTTTTTTTAATCTTCTACATATACATTATATCGCTTGTGTTTTTATGTAGTGGGAGAATATATACTTTAAAATTCTGTATGAAAAGAATACATAAACCTTGTCTTTCGAAGACACAGGAGAGTTTGAAATAAAATGGTAAAAATAGGAATAGAACCAAAGGGGAGAGTGAGATATGCCAAAAAGCAACATGAAAAAAGAATCCGTAGGATTGATTCAAAGGTCTCTGCACATGGGGGACAAGGGAAAAAAGTCTAAGATAGCCCCTAGTATTCAAAATATTCAGAACTTTGAGATGAACTGCTGACAAAATTGGGTAAGGTAGTGAGGGGTGGCCTGTTTGGGGGAAAAGATCATTTTTTTTCTCCTAAGCCAATTGCTCCTAAACTTTCCTCAAGGAAATTTTCAGGAGCTTTGAAATTTGTTAATGACCTTCAAAAGTAAAAAGTTTGAAATCCAAATCTCTCGGTGGCAATAGTTCATCACTGCTTAATTTTCATGTATATTCATTTTTTAAACATCAAATTCCAGTAATTTCTAAACTGGGTCTACAGAAAGTAGCCCAGGGAAACATGGGAATGGGAGTTAAGACATCAGGATCTCATTCATGGGCCTGCCACTAGGTAGCGATGGGGTTAAGTGTGTAGATTTGAGATACCTTAAATATGTAGGATGACAACACGATCTTCGAGTTTCCTTTCAGTGCTAAAGTTCTAAGTGTCCTTAAGCAATTGTAAAATACATCCGTGTAAATTCAACTTACCCTACATTTGAGTTGCTTTTGCCAGGTGAGTTATAGGATCATTTCTCCCCAGTGCTCAAACCATGGAGTGAACCCTACCTACACGATTTTGGTGGCTTTATGGTTGACAGGATTTGAAGGACTACAACAGTACAGGCAAGACCCCACGCCAAGAAATGTCCAAAACAGGAACACAACGTGTGCTAACTCTTACAGCCTCCATCAGAACAAACGAAAGGCCAGAGTTGCATTTGCGCATGGGCGTCACATCAGCTTCTTGCAGGGCACTCTTTGCTAAACTGTAAGCCCACACCTATTTTTCGCATTCTCAGGTGTGAAGTTCTTTCCTTGCCTAAGCGGATGTGGGCCTACTTCTTCGGGGATTAGCTCAAGCTGTGGACAAGGAATAAGACTCTAAGAAGTGGTCTAACGCCCCCTGTCAGGATGCCCAAGCAATCAGGAGGGGAGTCCGCCGTGGGGGGGAAGGGGGCGGGAGGGGATTGTCAGGGGCAACCTAGGGCCACGCTGGGAACGCGGGGCACCACGGCCGGGCCTGACCCGGAAGGGCTGGCGCGTGGTAACCCCGGCTTCCCTAGCAACCGAGCAGCCGCGAGTCCCAGCCCGCCGCTCCCGCCGCTGCGCTCCGCCCGCCCGCCGGGATGCCCCTGCAGGTTAGCGATTACAGCTGGCAGCAGACGGAGACTGCGGTCTTTATCTCGGTGCCCCTCCGAGGTGTCTGCGGCAGAGATGCGGACGTGTTCTGCACGGAAAACTATCTGAAGGTAGGAACGCGTGCTTGCCTGCTCCCGGGGGCGTGCTCCGAAGCTTCTGCGAGTGCGCCGCTCTATACACCCGACAGGCGCGTTCTCAATTATTAGTCCTATAAAAACAAAAAACAAAAACAGATGTCATATGTCATCAAATCAGGGATTCTTTTTTTAATCCAGGGCTTCCTACATATGCCTTGCTAATCTTTCATGACCTGAAATAAATTTATAGCAGGTGTTTAAGAAAACGATTTTGTCTTCTATCACTTAATTCTTAATGGCCGTGTCTTTAACGTGTGTAACTAAATTAACTTTCGTTTCCCCCATTCTGAATAGGTCAACTTTCCTCCGTTTTTATTTGAGGTGTTTCTCTATGCTCCCATAGACGATGACAGCAGCAAAGCCAAGATTGGGAATGATGTTATTGTTTTCACCTTACATAAAAAAGAAGCAGCGGTGTGGGAGACCCTGTCTGTGTCAGGTGGTAAGTTCTATGTTAAAAGATGTTCATCTGGTTGTGCTTCTTATACTTTATATCTTTTTTAAAAATTCTTTTGAAACAATTATGTTGCTCTTCTAGAAAAATAGACACAAGTATGATTTAAATCACAGTGCTTCAGCTGCTACTTCCAATAAATAACCTAGAGATTGAATTATTCAAAAGTTAAAGCACATTAATAACTCTCAAGCAGAAGATGTGAGCTTGTATCTTCAGTGGTTAGGGCCTTCTGATATGGCCTCTATGGAGCACTTATTTTGTATTAGGCATTAACACATCTATTAATCCTCACAACAACCTATCACTTAGGTACTTTTTTTTTTTTTTTTTTAAGGTGAGACTACTGAGGTACAGAGGGTTTGGTAATCAACAAAGGTTGTACTACTAGTAAGTGGCAGACTGAAACTGGAGCCTGAGCAGTTTGACTCTAGAGCAGTGGTTCTCAACCCTGGCTACATACTTGAATCACCTATAGAACTTTTTAATAATATGGATGTCTGAAATTTACCCTAGACCAATCAAAATCAGTTTCTAGGAGTGGAGCTTAGGTATTGGTAGTTTTAAAAATACTTTCCAGGATTAATAATGTGTATAATTGCAATTTCTTATTCTTCATACTCTTAATCGTACTCTCTTCTTTTGCCAAGGACAGCTTCATGAGTCAGTAACTGCCCTCTACTGCTTTAGCTCTATTTTCTCCCTCTTCTGGTTGTCGTGTTTGCCAGTGTTTTATCTACTGCCTGAATTTCTCTTAGGCCTCTGTCATTAAGTCTTCGGTAGGAATATTATGAATGGAGAAATTGCAATTATTTGTATTAATGCTTTCTTGGAATCTTGCAGTGGAATTTAATTTCTTAATCTTTAGCATCAGTAGAATCTTTAAGATCTGGTATTCAGCTCAGAAATTACTGATTAAGGTAGGTTACCATAGCCAGGTTATTTTAGTGAGTCTCAGACTGAGTTTATAAAAATCAGATTCCTGCTTTCCCACTCTCCCACCACCAGCAACCCTGTCTTCCTTTGTGATTTAGTAAATCTGAGAAGGGGCCTGGGAATATGTCATGAAATACACCCAGAGTGTTCTGACTTCTTACCTAAGATTAATGTAAATACTTTCATTTATTTGAACTCTTATTGATAATCTTAATTTTGAAGTTAATTGAGACTAGAACCATCATCTATTATAATGGCTTATTTTAAAATAAACAGATGGGGTGGGGTGGGGACTCCCCAGGTGATTCTGATTACTGACCAGGTTTGAGAACCACTAACATAAAGGGGTGTGTGTGTGTGTGTGTGTGTGTGTGTGTGTGTGTATGTGTGTGTGTGTGTCTCCTGGTGGCCAACAGATTTCTTCAGGAAACACTTTGTCCATCAGCTTTTCAGGCTATAAAGAAGGGTCATATCAAAAAAACTGTTACTTTCCCCTATTTCTTTTTCATGGTTATATGATCAACTATTCCAAATTATGTCGAATTCTCTTTTTAACCTGGTTGACCACCTTACCCAGGATTGGGAAGGGATTTTCTTTCCTAATCATGATCTTCACTGTTTTACCTATCTGCTTTCATTGCACAGAAACTTGATTCTTTTTCATGGTTATATGATCAACTATTCCAAATTTTGACCTTCACCCTAAGGTTTGGCAAACTTTTTCTGTAAAGGAGCAGGTGATATTTTGGATTTTATGGGCTATATGATCTCTGTCATAGTTACTCAGCTCTGCCATTGTAGCACAAAAGCAGCTATAGATAAATAGCCTTATTTATTGATGCTGAAATTTGAACTTAATCTAATTTTTATATGTCACAAAATATTATTTTGATTTTTTTTCAACTATTTAAAAATGTAAAAGTTATTCTTTGTCTCTGTTCTTTAGAAAAACAGGCGGCTGGTTGGATTTAGCCACTGTTTGCCAACTTCTATTTAGACTAGTCAAACAGTCTTAAAATTAACTTACATAACAAGTGATGAACAGTGATTTTACTTCAGAAGCCATGTTTGAGATTCCTTTAGAAATCAAACTCAGTCTCACATGCAATTCAGTGAAATTATTTCTTTAACAGTCTTTTTTCACATAGTGGTGTGGAACACCAGTCTATACTCTATGCCTGTCTCCCGCAGTATTCAAATCATATTTGCTTCATTTTCCCCTGAAGTTCCTCCTTCATACACTTTTCATTTCTTCCAAATGTGGAACATTTCATTTGGAAAGTTGATGTTCTTTTAATTATTTCTTTCCCTGAAGCTGGTCCATTTGTCTGCCACCACCCTGCTGTACCAAAAAGGTTAAGAACCCGTCTCTAGGACCTGATTCATCCATCTACCCTCCCCCCGTCCTACTCTCCCCCACTTCACCCCATCTCCCCAAGTTTTCTTTCTCCTGTGTTTTTTCCCCTCAAAATCTAGATTCCTTCCTGATCCCACTACCCGAAGATAATTTACCCCCTAATGGAACATAGCCTGTGTGTAAACATTGACTCACTAAATATAAAATAATTGTGAATGGTAAAATTCTGTATATAACATGTCATGTTACTTTGTAATTTTTCCTAGGGCTGGCCCTATATGCTTCATATGTATAAATTATCTTTTGTGTTTATGAAGGTGATTGATCATATCAGTCTCAACCCATTTTCTCTTCTAGACCCCCATAGTGATGACTTATTGTGATTAGGTTTATAAGCAAATAGCCCTGCTTTCCTAACAGAGAGGAGGATAAATGTGTTCTTTCTCCTCCCCATCTAGTCCCCTCACTCTGCCTTGCCCTATTCCTCTCCGTTCCCCCTCTCTCCCACCCTAGTCCCCCTCCTCATTTCCCTTGTTCCTTCTCTCTTATTCTCATTCCCCTCCCCACTTTCTCTCTCATTCTGTAGTAATTAATTTCTATACAGTTTTTTGCTTACTTTTTAATGTTAGCTTCTTGGCCAGCTTAATATTGAGAACTGTTTTCATTTCTCTATATGAAGTTGGGTCTAAAATAGCTCATCCTGGATCAGAATGTTAAGTAGTTTTCTTCTAAATAAAACAGATTCATCATAATCCTAATTTAGTGATGTTCCTTATGCTTTAGTTGACAAAGAGATGATGCAAAGAATAAGGGAGAAATCTATTTTACAAGCACAAGAAAGGGCAAAAGAAGCTACAGAAGCAAAAGCTTCAGCAAGGCGGGAAGATCAAAAATATACACTAAATGTCATGATGAAGGTAAGTTGCAGATTGATAGGAAGTCCTCTAATTAAAGAGATGATAGTAAACTATGTAAGCACAAGTAGCTCCAACCTCTGTACTTCCTCATCTTTTTGTTCATACTTTGGTTATAAGGCCTACTGTGTTATATAGGCTACTACAACTGACATGTGTTTCTAAAAATCTATAAAAGTCAAGGGTATAATTATTGAATAATAGATTTACTTCTGTGAGGGAGAATTTTCTATTTCCAGGGGAGTCAAAAATGTTAAGGTTCTATGGTATAAGTGTTTTATTTCTTTCTTGAGCTTGGAATAATTGACAAAATTATTTAAAATAAAAGCATAGATTAAATGCAAAATATTGACAAATATCATTTTAACTATTGAGGATTTCCATTTATAGCTTTCATCAGCAATATTTTTTTGAGATATAATTCACATACCATACAATTTACTCATTTCAAGCTTATAATTCAGTGATTTTTAGTATATTTAGAGTTGTGCAACTATTACTACAATCAATTTTAGAACATTTACAATACCCCAAAAAGAAACTCCATGCCCATGAGCAGCCACTCTTCATTCCTCTCATCCCCTATCCCTAGGAAACCACTAATCTACTTTCCTATCTCTATAGATTTACCTATTCTAATTTTTACAAGTAATTTCTTATCTGAAATTCTTATTTTGACATCTTGCAGTGATTAAGGAATCTATAACATTATAGATTATCTCATCAAGAGCTCTGTGAACCCATGACTTCTTTTGCCTTTGGATCACTAGTATTTTTATAATCAACAGTTCTTAATTCCAAAGATTCTCCCGCTTCTTATATCACTTTTACTTGACTTTTAAATATGGCTCGTGGTTATATGCTTTGTCTTCTACTTAATTGAACATGTGGTCAACTGACCAAAGATTCCTACTTTCAGTATACACGATGAGTTCCAGCTTTTCTTTTTTTAAAAAATTAATTAACTAATTTAATTGAAGAAATGATTTAATTTTTCTCCCATCTACCTCCCCCCTCCTTTCTGCCAACTTTTCTTGATTGTATTATCACTGCTGTCAGCCTTTTGACTTTAGCATTTTCCCAAATTTTAAAAACTAAAAGTAAAAGAATTTAAAATTTGTGGCAACAAATATTTACTGAACTAATAAGACAATTAAATAATGGCACACATACTGCTGTTTGGAATATTTAACAAAACTGAACAGTTGATTGGCAGGCAGTACCACGATGCTATACCTTGAAGTTATTAATCTACTGATATATGAAAGCCTGACTTTGGTATTTGGAAAGGTGGTTTAGGGGCATTAATATATGAAATATGAAGCTGTAGGTTATATTAAATTGGAGAGAATCTGTGAAAGCCTATAGCCTATACTACAAATGATCCATTTTATCTTTTTCCTTCAGGCATGTTGAGAGTTGGGACTATGTTTTCTTTCATTCTTATAGCCCTTGCCAAGTAAATAGCAGGTGCTCAAGTATTTGAATGAATTAATGTGAATTCATTGCCCCAGTACCCTTTAACCATAGCAAAATTTTATTTCAGTGGATAAATGAAGCTATTTTTACTTTGTCCAATTTTGGACACCATTCAGAAAAGAACTGATGGTCCAATAAGAGGAGATGAAGAGGTGTGACAACAAAAGGCAACCTGTAATTAGCTTAAACCATAAATTAGCTTAAAACTTGAATTACATCTACCAAAAAATAATAGTTTTTAAGTAGTAACCTTTTAAAAATAATGAGCAGGAGCAGTGCTAAGGCTTGCTATGTCACTTAACTATGCTCTATTAGCTTCCTTGGGCAACCATAACACAATACCACAGACTGGATGGCTTACAAAACACATTTATTCACAGTTCTAGAGTCTAGAAGTCTCAGATTAAGGTTTAGCAGGGTTGGATTCTGATGAGGATTCTATTCCTGGCTTGCAATATGGAGAGCGAGCGAGCAAGAGCGCATGCATGTCCAGATCTTCTTATTAGGACACTAATCATGTTGTATCAGGGCCCTACCCTTAATGACCTTACATTTAACCTTAATTACTTCCTCAGATGCCCATTTCCAAATATAGGAGGTAGAACTTTTGTATTTTTAAGCTGGAAGGACTCTGATCGCTGGGGTGGGGGGCGGTAAGGCTTCAACACAAAAACATTTCCGGGGTACACAAACATTCAGTCAATAACACTGTGTAGTAAACTATCCAAGATTTAGTGGCCTAAACCCACAAACATTTATTTCTCAAGATTCTGTGTGGTTGTCAGGCAGTTCTTGTGTTCTGGGGCTGGCTTGGTCGTGGCTGTATCGACTAAGATGGCCTCACTCACATGTCTGGAACCTTGCCTGGGAGAACTGGAGCCTTTCTCTATGTAGTATTTCATCTTCCAGAAGGCTAGCCAAGACTTCTTTACTTCAGAGTCAAGGCCCCTGGTAGTAAGAAAGGGAAAGCCCTCATGCATGAGCACTTTTAAAGCCTCCGCTATATCCTGTTTACTTGCTAATATGTTTACTGCATCAACTTCATTCATTTAATAGACATTCATTGAATACTGTGAAAGTTGCTGAGACAGAGCTGAACAAGTCAGTCATCACTTCCAATTTACTCATAGTCTATGGAGATTGACAGACAATGAAAAGCAAAGATTATACCATAGTATGCATAAAGTGTCATGGGAAGATAAAGAGAAAACACTGATAAAAGGTTGGTATCTTAGCCTGAGAGCGTGGTCAGGAAGTAGGAGGCAGAGTTGTTAATGCTGAATACTGGAGAATGAGTCACAGTTACCCGGGGAATAAATAGGAAAATGACATTACAGACAGCTTAGATAACTGCATGACAGAATATGGCACAGTGAAAGAACATTTGTTGGTCAGTAATAAAATTTTAAGATTTTGAAAAATTTCCTGAAGGTAATAGAAATTTTTAGCAAGCATATCAAATCAATTTGGTTTATATTTTGGAAAGCCAATTCTGGCTAATGAGTTTGAAGAGTTTGCAGAGTGGAGGTAGACTTTTTGTATTTTTAAGATGGAAGGACTTTGATCATATTTATACATTGAAGAATGAAGCCAGTAAAGGAGAGGTTGCTGATACTACCAAGGGAGGGAATTGATGAGGGAACAGTTATCTTATGGGCGGGGGGTGGGGTGAAGGTTGGAACAAGTGATAAAATTAGTCATAGGTCATAGAGGAATATTTAATCTTTTGATACTTGAGCGCAAGAATAAGGAATATAGGATTTGGAAAATTCTTAGAGACATAGATAGAGGAATCCTTTATTTTCAGGGTGAAGGAGGCAAGCTCATTACCTAGAGGGAGGAGAGAGTTGAAGTGGAGGTGCAGGGGTTTGAGGTGATTAGTGGAAGTTTGGAATACTGATGCCAGACCAATCTGAAACATGCTCCCCTCACCCCAGATAATTTTGACTGCTATTGTCTACTTTTCTTATCTTTTTCACTATTTTGTTTTGTAATTTGCCGTCTTTATTTTGAGTTTTTCTCTTTGTTTTGTTTTGAGCACTTTTTCTCACTGAGCTTTTAACCTGGATAAGTTGAATTGGTAGGGCTTTCTTCTGCTGCTGGTTTCTTAAAATTGAAATCTGGAAACTTTAAACTGTGAAACAACTTTGCCTGGTCATGAAGATGACGAATGAGTTGCTTTTTGGAGTTGTCTAGGTTACACTATAGAGCCTTTAATAAGTCCTCATCAGTGAAACCGCATTCCCTGTTTGTTGGAGGTGTGTATAACTAAGATACAGAAAATCCAGAAGGAACTGCTTGGCCATTTTTTAATTCTATTTTTTAATAATAATTTTAATGTTCCTGACATTCTTTAAAAAAATCCCCTCTCCTCATTCTGCATTGTCTTCCCTTTCAGTGTATGTCAGACTTTCTCAGCAACCTGTTTTCCACTTTTACATGTTTAACATTTTTTCTATAAACTCATTCTTAGGGCTCTGTGCTTTTGTTATCTCCTGTTCTAACTTCTTTGGCCTACGCTTTATATGTGACCTCTTCATTCTCATACCTTAGTAACAGTTATTACCATCATAAGACAACTATGCTGTTAGTATACTCAGTCTTTCTATCACTATTTTTTTTTTTAACTTTATTTACCTTTGTTGTCTTTGATATTTTTTATTGGGAAGTTCTACAGACCAAATACACTTTTTTTTGTTTGTTTGTTGGGTTGATTTTTTCCTTCCTTCTTCAAACTGCTGCCATGCAGTTCTTGAGGAACCTCCATACTTTTTCATAGTGGCTGCACCTGTTTACATTCTGACCAGCAGTGTGCTAGGGTCCTCTTTTCTTCACATCCTCACTAGCATTTGTTACCTTTTGCCTTTTTGATAATAGCCATCCTAACAAGTATGAGGGGATATTAATTAATTTTTATGTTGTTAGAAATGCTTTGCATTTCTCTGATGATTAGTGATATTGAGCACCTTTTCATGTACCTATTGCCATTTGTATGTCGTCTTTGGAAAAATGTCTTGTTAGGTCCTCGGCCCATTAAAAATTTTTATTTATTTCCTTGCAATTGGGTTGTATGAGTTCCTTGGATATTGACTTCTTATTGGATATTTGGTTTGCAAATATTTTCTCCTGTTCCATAGGTTGCCTTTTCATTTCGCTGATGGTTTCCTTTGCTGTGCAGAAGCTTTTAAGATGTAGTCCCATTTGTTTATTTTTGCTTTGGTGACCTTTGAGTTTGGTGTCAAGTCCAAAAAAAATCATTGCCAAACCCATGTTAAGGAGCTTATCCACTATGTTTTCTTCTAGGGAGTTTAGGTTTCAGGTCTTACATCAAAGCCTTTAATCCATTTAGAGTTGATTTTTGTGTATGGTAAAAGGTAAGGGTACAGTTTCATTCTTTTGCGTTTGGGTATCCAGTTTTCCTAGCACCATTTATTGAAGACATTAGTTTTTCCCCATTGTATATTCTTAGTACTTTTGTGAAAAATTAATTGACCATATATGTGTGGTTTATTTCTGAGCTCTAT